GAACGACAAGCTGGCTTCCTTCCTTCTTTCTTTTCCTCTTCTCTCCAAGCCCCATCTTTCTTTTTTATGTTTGGGGGGAAAAACAGCACCAGTTTTGGTTCTTTAGAAAAATAACTTAAGATATCATTACATAGCCGTTTGCAAGTGTTTCCATCTCTGGCAGGTGGATAGAGAACATTCATGGAATGCTGACCCCTGCCACTAAGTCCTTTCTTTTTTCCATTTTGAAACATTTCACAACTGAAATTTATCCATCTCACCCTCATACATAATTGTAAACTTTTGCACAGAATTCCATGCTATAAGTAATTTTCCTCACCACAATTCCATAGAATTTTTCCACTGTCTTGTTGATTCAGATGTTGCTGTTAGTTTGAATTGGTTTAAACTCTGGGACTTAGTGTTTATTGTCTCCCCCACTCCCAGGAAATTTAAAGTCTTCCAGTAAGTACTTTTTGAAGAAAAACAGAAAATAAGAATTAAAAATCGCATGAATGGTCTCTGTTTATTGTGCTATGTTTAATTTGCCTCTTCCGTTACTGAGGGATTGTGTGTACTAGGTCCTATATGAAGAATTCTCTTCTGGCCTCACATTAACCCTCAAAATGGTCCAGCATTTATGAAATTTGGAACTGAAAAATTCATCCTTCTGTAGTCTCTTCTGGGTTCTTGCATTTTCTACTGCTGTCCTTCATTCTGGGGTGACAGACTCACTTCTGGAACCCCAATTATTTTGTGTTTGTAACTATTCGTATACCATAATGTTTTCTGTAAAATAAATAAAACTGTGAACTTGGGGTATTTCTTTCATAATGGAAATGAAGAGACACAAGAATTTTATATTTTCCTAAAGAAACCATAGACATAATTTTTAATTAAACAAAGTATTTTAAATAAGCAGAAAATAAAGAATGGGGAATTCACAGTATATACATTTTATACTGTTTTTGCTTCTTTAGATATGTGAATATAATATTCACTTAATAACACAAAACTATGTTTAAATGCAATAATATGTAAAAGTAGCTACACTTTTTAAAAAGTCTGTGTCCCTAGCAACGACACTGTACTGCCTTCCATTCCAAAAAGTTAGTGGAATTTGGACTATAATTCCAAAATAATTATTATAAAAACTAAGTCAGAATTCTCCCTCTATACAAGAGTTTAATAGGGAATAGGCAAAGGGGATGAGGGAGCTCAGAGGATGAGGGAGAGGAAAGATAACCAAAATCAAGGGTGGGAATGATAGGCCATATGCCCAGTATATGAAGGGAGATGTCCAATATATCTAAGTAAAGCTGTTTCTAGAAACAAGATCCAACAAACAACAACAAAAACCTCTACATTTTTTGCTTTATTTCGTTTTGGTATTTTGTTTTATTTTCATTTTTCTGGGTGGATAGGGGTAAGGGGGAGGAGAAATTATGATCAAAATATATTGTATAAGAAACTTTAATAAGTTAGGAAAGCCTAAGTCTTAGAGGTTCATAGATCATATGAAGGAAATTACTATTGATGGTTAGCTAAGTAGACAAAATATCAATGTGCCTTTTAAATATCTGTTTACACTCTTAACTCTAAGGCTATTCACAACCCTAATAAGAGAAGCATATTTGCAGTAAGTGGCAGTGAATTTGCAGATTCATGGCGGCCCCAGATGCTGAGAACAGAAAGAGGGCTTGGCCCTAAGCAAGTCATTTATCTGAATCCTTGTTGAGGCTCCGGGAACAATGCAGAAGAGAGGATGAAAAGAGTGTGAGAGCTGAAAGATAGGGGAGGGCAAGCAAAATCCCGATCTCTAGACACAGTACTCGCAATGTGGTTGTAACTCCCAGCAGTTGAGATTACCTGCACAAGACAATGCTCACCTGTCAGTCATGGACTGGGGTGGGGTTTCAGGGGCTGTACTCCTTACTGCTGAATTGTGGGCCACTGATAGCATGCTGTCAGTTGAGTAACCATTGGTGTGCTCACCACACTCCATTGGAAAATTCTAATCCCAATGTTACACAGAAGGCCCTGGCAAAAACCCAGAGGAACATAAAGAAATGAGAAGACATAAAGGTGGGTAAGAAATTACCCAGGAAGAAGGAATTTTGCAGGGAAGGAAGAATGATGGAGACAGTAGGAACGAGAAAAATCAGAATTCATTATGTACATGTGTCAAGATATCAAAGAACAAATCAGTTAAAAAATAAAATGTGGGTGGGGGTGTCACATGCCTTTAATCACAGTACTCAGGAGGCAGAGGTAGGCAGATCTCTTAATTCAAGGCTAGCTTACTCTACAAAGCTACATAGAAAAACCCTGTCTCGAAACCACCCCACCCTCCTAAGAAAACAATAAAATAAAATGCATGAAGCTGAGAAGGTCAAAATGTTCAGGACAAACTGAGATGAAGAACACAATTCTGAAAGAAAAATTGAAAACCCTGTGTGTACATTGGGGGTAAAAGTGAAGCTTTGTCACTGGAGGAAAGCCGGTCTCAGAGGCATGCCTGTTTTGTGAGCCAAGCCAATTTAAGCCAAGTTCTTAATGTTTTGTTCAATTTCAAAGGAATATTTCAGTAGGAATACTGAAGTTGAAATAAAATATATTAATAAAAATATAATTGCCTTATTAATACTGAATCACACCAGGGGATTTTTCATCCTTTCTTTTAAGCTTTTGTTTAACACTTCAGTACTAGTCCAGAACTACTTGAAAGGAATTCTTTGCAGTTGCTCGTTTTACAAGGTGGCAGCCTGTCATGAAGAATTTCAAGAATCCTGCATGTGATAAAAACAGCTTTCAACACATACTTTCCTCTCTTCAAGCCAGGGCTGCAATTTAATACTTACAGTCTAATATATAGGAGATTTTTTTGTCATTTTTTTAAACCAGGGTCCTTGCTAGCCAAAGCTTTTATTTTATATAATGTGCATTACTACTTGCAATCATTTCCCTTAGTTATAATGAAGCATACCTCAGAGGCCTGCCCCACCTATAGGAAGCACAGGAAACCAATTCTAAGGCCTGGTTCAACTCACCTGAGAATACTGAGAATATTAATGATTCCCCATAGGAAATATCCCATAATCAGTTTGTAAAATTGTATTTACTGCCCAGCACAGTGGCAATGGAGAAAATTGTATGGTCATTTACAGTTCCTTCTCTTTAATTGTTCTGTTTGTTTGTTTGCTTATTTATAGTCAAGACCTTTGCTTGTTTATAGGCAGGGCCTTACGTTGTGGCCTTGGAATCTAGGTTTTTCTGCCCTAGCCTTCTGAGTGCTGACTTAGCAGGTGTTCACCAATACAGCTGACTCTAGTCCTAGTTTATGAACAATTTCTCCATCTAGTGACTTATTTATTTCTTTATCAAAATAAGAAGTTTCACATCCAGCTCTACAATAGGCTCTATGGGGCTGAATTTCCATAGCTCACTGTAAAACCAGCAAGTATTAGACAATAGAGAAGCTGGTGCATTGACCTTCTCACTGCAGCTACTCTTGGATTGAATGGCTGAGAGTGGCTGGCCTAGAAGGTAACTAGGGTCAAGGAATCTTTGTAAGCTTGACCAGATCTAGAATTTTATCACCCAGATGGCCACATCTGCTCTGCTAATTGTTAGCGAAAATGAAAATCTCTGTATTTCACAAACCAGGATCCTAAAAAAAACCCAGACTTTAAGTCTTTACTGAAGAATTGGGTAATTCAGGCCTGATGTTTCCTTTATAGTAATACTTCCTGGGTGTAATGCAAAGAGAAGCTACTGAGGCTGTTAAAAACCATCCATCTTGCCGGTCCACACTCTGAGCTCTTTGTGTAATTCTAATGCTGGGGTAGCACCCAGGAACCAGCATTTAAACAGTACTTTGGGCATTCTGGGGCCATCTGTTGGGAAAGTGCTCTAAATAATCTTAATCACCTAGTCCTATTAAATCAGAATTTTTAATTCAATGATAGGACTCTGTTGTTTCTTACAGCATTGCTGGTTGGTCTACGTGAGGAATTTCGTGATCCTGGGCAACTTCTTTGTCTGATCTTAGTTGTTGTGTTATAAATGCAAAGGTTTATTCCATCACTTAGAGTCATTTAGCAACCTATCTGAAAAGTCTGACAAATGACTGAATAGAAAAGGATGCTCCCTCTCCCTTGGGCACCCTTCATGCCTTCAGATTTGTTGTTACAGTACCTTGCATAGATATTTGCATGTTGATAATATGTGTGTTTTTTCTATCTATGCTTATCCAGAGCTTTTATTCAAAGTCAGGTGTAAATGATACTAACCCTGTTCGTAGAAGTGAAAAGAGTCTATCATTCTAATTTCTATATATTTAAAGAGCATCTGTCTCTTATTGAATTTACTACTCCCAGCTGTGCAAAATATGTATGCTTATGCCTGTAATTTTTATCTTTTATTAGACTCTGATTATGCTTTGCTGTTGTGTCTCATATAAGAAAATGTGTTTGGCTTTAAAAGCACTCACTAGTTTAATGAGAACAGCAATAAATACAGTTTGTTGCATTATAGTAACTCATGTCCTTGTGTATGTATTCATTCAAAACATACTTGTCAAGCATCTAGTATTTATCCTGTAGTCTGCTAGATTCTGTGTAGGTTTGGTGTCATGAAAGTGAAACGTCTGCTTGGCCCTTCATGTTGTTGTACAGATCATTTTCTATAGCTAGGTGAATGTTTCCTTAAATGTTAAATGTTTGTGATGGCGATAAACCAATAAAAAGACTCAAAACCAGGAAGATATACATAAGTGCATTTGTCGGTGTTCTTTATCCAGTGAAAAAATATTAATTTTTAAATGTTTCAAACTTTTCTTTTTTCCTTCCTTCCTCCCTCCCTCCCTCCCTCTTTCCCTCCCTCCCTCCCTCCCTTCCTTCCTTCTTTCCTTAATGTCTGTGTGTCATGCATAAATAAGTACAGACACCAGAACTAAGTTTTGAAAACCAAGAGTAGACCAACACACAAGGTTGAAGTGATTTGCTTCTTTTCTGTTTCAGATGATGGGAAATTGTCCTTTGAGGAATTTAAAGCCTATTTTGCAGATGGAGTTCTCAGTGGAGAAGAACTACATGAGCTCTTCCACACCATCGACACTCACAATACCAAGTAAGGAATATTTCTTATCAGTGGACTCTATAAATGAGGTGGAGAGGAGTGTGAATGAGTCACTCAGAGATATGTAGAGGGTATGTTCTGTAATGTTTAATTCTGAAATATCCTTTCCTAAAAATGCAAGTGATCTAAAACAATTCAATATCTTTTAAATAAACCTTCTATAATAGTTTTAGGGTGTACCCTCTTTATAGAATATAAAAACTAAGAAGACATGATAAATATAGTCCATCATTAATAAATAAGTAAAATCTTGTTGTTCATCTTTGGCATAATCTAAAGTTTCTTTGTTTGAAAACTGCCCTCTGGGTATATTATATTTATATTGAGATGAAATTATTGCAGTTATAAACTGAAAATAGCAGCTGCTTGAGAGCTACAGGTAATGTAGGGCACAGAATATCTCTGGAGAGTTGATACATAGGGTGATCGATTAATGTCATTTATTTGGCATGTTGGCCTCTCTTTTGGAGTAGGAACATTCTGTTCATATTCCCCCATGCCGAAAATATAAGGTAATGAGGACTTTAGGATGCAGACCAACAGAAATATACTGCTTGTTTAAGGTTACTGAACCAAATAATATTTTTCATAGTAGCAATTATAGAAGTCTAATACAAAAGAGCATGGATTCACACATGCCTGGAGACCTGCCATGATGCCTGCTGCCTGAACAATCACAGTTTGCTTTAGGCAAAGCACTGACATGGTTCCAGGCAGTAAGCCAGTCTGCTAAGACAATGCTCTGTAGCTCCACCTATGAACAGACATTTTCCTGAGGCAAACTATTTAAAAAATTAAAATATTAAATTCACTTTACTCCAGTGGTTGAATATTTTTAAAACAGTAAGTTTCTAAAATTCAACAAGACTTTTAAGTTGCCTTGGCAATGCCTTAAGTCTTTCGTTGTCAAAAATAGTATTAGACTCAGTAACTGATATTTTCATTATGCTATCAAAAATTCTGTGATTGATGTATTCATATCACACTTGGGAATTGCAAAGAAGGGATAGGTCAGTGTTTCTCAAGAACTGGAATATGATAAGAAAATCAAAACTACTTAGGTAAAGAAATGCAGGAAAGTGGGAAGAACACTTCCGTTTAGAAAAGGTGTGGTCCAATGACTATAAGGAAGACATGGATTGAACTTGGTGTATTTTTAGTTCTTTTTTTCAGGGGAAAGGAGGCCATAAGAATTGGGAGAGTGGGCTTCAGAAGACTGGGAAGATAGTGTGATTGGGGTGAATTTCCCAAATTATCAATAAAAATACTATGTTGGAAATGAAATAGATATTCACAAAATAAAGAAGAAAAGGCATGGAGAAGGTTCTGGATGCATGAGATGAGGGAGAGTTACTCTGATTGCTGAAGTATTAACTATACAGCTAAAAATGTAGGGACATTAACAGTAAAGAATGATCTGGGTGAGAAATAATTTATATTCTGAGTATTTAAAAGTACTTCAACTTTATGCAAAGCAAAAGTGACCTAAGCAAGAACTCCAGCTTCTAGGTCACTGTGGTTCCATTGAGGAACCAGCTAAAATGATAGAAATGGAGGAAAGACTGCAGATCTTAGGTAAACCTTAAATGGATGCTGAGGAAATAGAACATCCATGCATGGAAGGAAGCCATTGGGAGAACGGATGCAGAGGAGGCAGAGGCTCCCTTTGTGTCTTGGTTATCCTGGTGGAAGTTGGTATGCTAACACTCCATCAAGCATATTGATGAGTTCCTCCTTATTATGTCAAGTTATAAAAGTGTCTAGATTTGGAATATTTATTGAGATTTCTAGTTTTAGAATTTGGTGTCATGAATATTTTTCAATGCACATTTACTCAAGTAAAGGAGAAAGTTTTCCCTTGGTTTCATTTGTTTGATGTTGTCATTTTATTTACATTTTTCATAGTTCATATTGCTTTGTATACATCTAAGATTATTTGGTACCCAAAACTGAGATGTCTAATGATTTATACAAGTCTAAAGAAATGTATATTACTATTGCTTGCTATCATATGCATTAGCAACAACCATGTTTTCTGACATAATTATAATCAAGCTAAAATTAAAGATATTAGTTAGAGACCTCTGAATTTATTCATGAAATTCCTCCTTAAAGCAGGTTGTCAGTGTCAAGCTTTGATCTTTTACAAAGATTAATTCAACCTTCAACATAGAAATTCCAGAGATTTATTTTAAGCTTAAAAATAACTTTTATCTTTCATGATCCAAGTTCATGCTCTATATGCCAATTACTTTTCTTTTTCCACTCACTTTCTCGGGACATATGTTATCCTCCCAAATACTATTGCTGCCCAACAACCAAAACTGGTCTAATTGAACCATGAGCACACCTGCCCACCAGAAGCCAACTAATATAGGTGGGGCAGAACCAAGTCAACTAACTCCCCATTTACAGCAACTCCCTGGCCCTTCTCTCTCTCAGTGTCTGGTATTTGAATATTTACTTGCCCATAGCAGCTGTCTTTTAGAGAAGTTTAATTATAGCTTGTTCTAAAATGTGGTAAAATTAAGTATCAAAGTTAGGTAAATTATTTCTTATATAAGGGATGCCCTAGTTGAGAGAATTTTTAAATTCATTTTCAGCCCAACCTATTAACCACTGGTCCTTGTTTTTAAGGAAAGTGTCTCACATTCACCATCCATGATACAGCATGAGCTTGAACTCAATACTCAGATAAAGCTCATCCTAAGGTGAATCCCACACAACATTCTGTGTGCTTGGTGCTGTGATCGACTTTGAGTATGGTGAATGGTTTCCCAGAAGTTGCATTCCTCATGCATATAACCTCAACATTTTGATCAACATAGAAATTTTAAAAGTGAAAAGAATCCTCAGTGGAAGAAGAGAAATTTGAAGGCATCATATGTTCAACTCTCTATCACTTTTTAAAATTAATATTTTTAATTGATAGGGTTTTTTATTAGGTATGAACACTCACAGTGTTTTTCTTTCTGGATTATTGTTGCATAGAGTGATTCATAGAGTATGTAAAAACTGCTATTTGAATTAGATGGTCTGATGAAGAGAAAATGGTGAAATTAAAAACATTGTCAACAAAAGAAACAGCATTACTGAATACTAACTTCTAAAAGGAACAGTGAACAAACTAATATTTCAAAATAAGTTGAAATTTTCACTTCCATCTTATTAAAACCTATAATTTCAATCTCCATATTAACTGCCTTATTCTTTCTAGGCATGTATTCCTAATCTTTCTTCTTTAAGAAAAAGAAAAAATTGTTACTCTCCCAATGATTTCTGTTAGCCTTCTTTATTACTACCCTCCCAGCCCTGGTGTATGTTTCCCAGTCACGTGCTTATCTTCTCACCTTGTAAGACAAAAAGACTTATTCAGAAAAGAATAAAGAATATTCACAATGCTGTGGATACTTAGGTTTGGTATAAAATAATGTTAACAGAAACTAAATCTATAGTTAGGTGCTCATAAATAAGGGTAGCACCCCGATGATAAACAGAAATAGAGGTAAGATTGTGAGGTCAGGGAGAGACTTTCACAGCTTACAGAGAATATTTTCACTCACTAGAAAGTCAACATAGCTGCATTTTGTCATCAGTTCCATGAAAATGAGAAAATTTAGCATAAATCCTTGAGGTATTAGTCATAGCAGAAGCATGGGAGAAAGTCTCCCTAGAGACCTAAAGCAATGCTGCCAGTGAACTACACTTAGGAGCTCCAGATTGTCAGGGTAGACCAAATGGTAGACCAGATGGAAGTTTTGCTCATGATGCAGAAAGTGAACACAAAGAAAAGTATCCCAAGGCTCTCAGAGAGGGTCTCATGACTAGAAACTCATACGTTCAAATAGAAGATTCTTTGTGCCAGACTAAAATAGTTTTTTGGATGCTGAGCACTGATATTTCCACCCTGTGCTTGTTAACTCACTGACGCTCACCAGAGTGACAGAAATATCACCAACTACTAAAATGAGTTAGCTCTGGAAATGAAAACACTCTTTCCTATACTAAACTGATTTTTTCTCTCTCTAATTTCCACTTAGTGTGTTCCTTAGGGCCATCCAGAATATGAATATTTTATGACATGTCTCTCCAACATTTGAAAGCAGTTTTCATGTACCAATGATGAGATTAAAATCCCATAATAATTAGAGAGTAATCATATCAAAGAGTTGTTTCAGATGGCAGAGTTATGCTTTTTCTGAAATAGAACAAGTTCTTTAGCCTGTATTTATGCATGATATTAATTCCTAAAGTATGATGAGTTGGTTGATAATGTTACTGTCTTGAGTTACTCATGACACTGCTTAAAGGGAGACATATGTTGTGAGGAGCAGGAAAAGAATGTGGGGTCAATATCTTGAGGTAAACACTAAGCCATTCATTCTGATGTATATGCAATATAGTTGTGCATGGTACTGTGGTTATGCTATTCTAACCATGAGTAAAATCGATCTCCTTATGAGTGTAGCCTATAGGAGGAACAACCACAAATTTAGTACCTGGAAAAGTAGAGTAGTGCACAGTCCCAGATGTTAGTTACAAGTGTTGGGGAGGCTAAAAGTACATATGCAAGAAGCCAGAGACTGGAACGTGGTAGAGCTATGTGTCAAAGGAACAAAAGACCATGAAAGTCCATAATAGAGTAGTCAACCTGGGCAAACAAGGGTTGAGTTTCAATAGTTAAGACCTTGGCTAAGGAGCCTTGGCACAACGATACTCATAACCCAAACTGGCCGAGAGAAGCCAGCATCATGATCAAGGCTTACCTGTAGAAACCAGGTAAAGGGTTAATCCTCTGTCCATACCTAAAGCAGTTTTGAGACAGCAGCTGTGTAAACAGCTTTTACGAGACATGGTATTTAGGATGCTTTGGGTGAAGGATGGAGTCAAAAGATTCTCAAGGTTGCAGAGCTAGGGAAAATCATTTTTGAGCAGATATTCCTCAATTTATCCCTTGCTCAATTTGGAGAAAATATCACAATAAGGAAAAT